CAACCTCAAAGTGATGAAATACATAAATGTAACGTTCTATATTCCTCGGCATGTTTTCAATTTAGGATTTAGATTGTGCCCAGGGGGAACGGATTAATCCATACACTAGTCAATTTCGCGATATTTTATAGTCAGATCACAGCATGTATGGGCCGTGACCGATGTTCTTTAAAACCTCCCTAACTTGAGTTAATTTTGACTGGAGGAAAAAATCATAAAACTTTTATTTATGTAAAATTTGAAGCTCTACACATTTTATTAGAACTTTTGTGTCTAATTTTTACCGTTTTCGAGTAATTGCAAAAAAAATACTTGATTGTCTTTTTTTCAACCCTTGCCGGGGTTGCAGACACGAAAACCCTTACACGTTGTTTTTGTATCATTAAAACTACATTATATCAAAAATGCAAAGTTGAGTGGCATAATTTTGATTTCAGACCTTATTTGACTGAACATGAGGAAATCTATAGGAGAGGTCTATGTTCAGCAGTGGTCATAGGCCGTAATTAATGTGTAATTAATTAATTGCATTTATATAGAACCAGCAGCGTCTTGCCTTTAACTACTTAAATTAAAAGGTTGCGGTTGCCAACCCGCTTGCTAAACGTGGCAACTATGGCTAATATCCCCACTACGGGGCAACCTATGGAGGAGGCTTATATCAGCAGTGGATTTAAATAGGCCGTAACAGTATATACAACCCAAGATAGGATTATAGTTCATGAATGTGTCCGCAAGTACAGGTGCGTTCTCTATTCCCGCACTTTCTTAGTCTAATGGGACGGCAACCCGACACGACCGGGGAGAGGTCAGGCGAGGTACACAACCTTTGTTGTACATACTTTTCGAGGCACAGTGTTGAAACAACTTTACAATTTAGACTTTCACAATTATACCATTAGACATAATTACTGCACTCTTAGACTACCTTAACTCCATAAACTCTAATATTCAATTCGCTGTGGTGTTAGAGGTAAGTAATTCTTTAGCTTTCCTATAGATGTTTTAATTATTCGAAATCTTCATAACAGTTATAATGTGTATAGAAAAAACCCATACTAATCAATATTTAAACGGTGAATCTCACCACCATCGTTTTTTTGTACGCCGCTCGAGCCGACCCATTCGTGCTACAACCATAATATATCTGCAGCTGCAACGTGGCTCCACCACGTCATAAGTAATGTGGTTATGAATTTTTTTTACGCCACTACTACACGCCCCACTAAAACATTAATCAAACTGAGTTAATTATATGGATTTTTTTAATTGCTAAAATTAAAAAAATACATATATTTTTTCTTAAAATAACCAAGCTCCAAAATATTTCTCATTTAAATATACGGATTCTTGTTCAACTCCCTTAAATGCAACCCCTCACCCTCACATTTCAACCCTAAAGCTTAGATTCGTTTCTTAATAATTTACATTATTATTCAAGAGACCCTTAGTGCGGTGGTAACAGCAGGCGGGTTTCCCAACGCGGCCCCCGTTTGAGTTCAATTGTAAAATTCGAGGCTCTCGTTTGGTTTCACAATCGGGCATACGTTTGGCTTCCCTACCCCTTCCAATGTTCCCTATCCTCTAAGTTAACTTCTGAATGTATATTTCACCTTTTGCTACTAATTCACTAAAAGTTAAAATAACAATGAAAGTCCTGGCTGTTATTTTAGGCACAGACCTCCTTTATTGTTCAGTGGAAAAAAGTTCAGAGGATATGTTTCAAGGATATGTAAAGTTCGTTAATAGAGTATACATAAGTAGCTTGCTTATGTATACTCTAAGTTAAAATGCACAGGTTTTTATTCATAGAAAATAAGGGTGACAAACGAGCGCACAGTCCGCCTGATGATAAGTGAATAGCCATAGAATGGCCCACAGCATCACTTACCATCAGAAGGTCTCACATCTACATCTATCCTCGATTAAGTATCAAAATGCAGATGCGTTATCACCCCCGAGGACTAAGATACAATGCCTCATTTTTAGTAAAAAGGGTCTCCGGTTCACTACACTCACTATGTGAAACACAGCAGCCTTAAGCTGCCATTTTACGCTGGTATTCTATTAGAGCGTAGTCCCTCCCCGGTCGAGCCGACCCCAACCATAATATGGCTCTACATTGTACAACGTACAAAAGGTGCAAATAGTGTTACGAAATATTCCCTTTGTGTTTTGAGGTTAGTCCCGGTTCATAAGCAGCTCAAACGCTCTGCTGCTCTCTGCACCAGTCTTCTTATATTAGATCTAGAGTTTTAAAAGAAGTTTTATGATTTTTTGAATGATTTGTTTCATGTTTCATAAACATGGAGTATGAGTGACTACTTCGACTGGCTACTGCCTGCGGGTTTTCCATGGGTTTGTCCCAGTTTGTAGGGCGCCCGGGAAAAGCGTTCGGGTAGGGTTTTTTCATACTCCGTGCATATTTTGAAATTTTAGAAACAACAAAAATGTAACTTTGTTTTAGTTTATATCATTTTGTTGGCCAATACTAAGAAATTCTTATTGACCCATTCGCTGTCTCGTGTACTACATATAGTTCATCGCTAATTATCGTACTATTGTGTCTGAAAATCGGACAGTGAAAGTGTTCATTTAGTTTTGTGTCATATAAATTCTTATTAAATCTGGGGTATTCAGATTTCTAATACTAGTTTAAACTATTTTAAACGACGAACAATAACAAGGGCCTAAGCATGAGATAAGAGTGATAAGCTGTCTTAAACAATAGCCTTTAAGAAATAAGTATTACCCTTTTTACTGGAAAGGAGGCATTCCATCTTAGTCCTCACGGGTGACAATGCATTTGCATTTTGATTCGTAATCGAGAATAGATGTAGATGTCTATGACCCACAGCAACCACTTACCATCAGGTGGGTTGTGTGCTGGTTTGTAACACTTAACCTATAAAAAATATTATAATACTATGTTAAGAAGTTAATCTACCAGTAAGCAAATGTAATGTATTGTCGAATTTCAAACATTGTGCAATATTATTTACACTCTTAAAACAATTACCATTCCATCCACCATCCAATTACCATCATATGGGTTACCGCCTTAGTAAGTAAAGCAGTGATTTCGTTCTTTGATAAATTATTATTCTATTGCGTCTTACAGAACTCGTGCAAAAAGTTATACATCCGCCTCAAGCTCAACTGAGAAGTGACTCTGTGATCCGTAAAGGGTGTTAGACAAATTGTCTGCAGTAACAACCGGCCTTGAAGCGTAATTGATCCTACGGTTTAGTCACGCACGAACTTCGACTTACGAGGTGATTAAGCAATTAAATAAAAGATCGGTGTAAATGCACTATACAAAAATAAGCTTTATTGTATTAATCGCGTGTATTTTACGTGGAACCACTTTGCAACTATATTATGGTTTTAGCACGAATGGGTCGGCTCGGCCGGGGTACACAATACCAGCGTAAAATAGCAGCATAATGCTGTTGTGTGTCGTATGGTGAGTGTAGAGAATGGGAGACTCTTTATACTAGTAAAAAGGCATTGCATTTTAGTCCTCAGGGGTTACAACGCATCTGTATTTTGATTCTTAATTAAGGATAAATGTAGGTGTCTATAGGCCACAGCATCCACTTACCATCAGGTGGACGGTGTGCTGTTTTGTCACCCTTATTCTATAAAAAAGCGTATAAAATATTAAATTTACCCTGTATATCTTTTGCATTCTTCTAGAGAAATAATCTTGAACTTGAATCGTTAGATACGTCGAAATTCAACAGTACAATTTTCAATTCAAGTTGAGCTAGTTTCGATTGATTTTTTCTATTTATCTATACCTTCTATTTTGTGATGGGTACTATCTGTGTTATTGGTAATGAAAAAACAACTATATGTGCAGGTTCCGAATAACTGAAACATATTGCTTAATCACCTCGTAAGTCATATAACGTACAGAAACTTTAAATAACGATAAACGTATTATATTATTCATTAACAAATACAAATAAATAAATTACTAGTGTCTATTAATATTATGCATCATTCAAAAAATAATTAACAATGTTGTGCAATAACATATAATAACATTTAGAAACAGCATGGTAGCAAGTAAAGACACTGGTAGCGATTACAGATTCAAATCTTTTATACTAATTATTAATTAAAGGAAAATATTGAAAGTTGGGATAAGAAATGGTAAAATTATCTTACAGCTGTTTTTTCTCAATATGAATAAGATACATTAAAAATTATATACAAAACACATACAACAAGATTTTACCAGATTTAAGTAGAGTACGTAAAAGCATTTATTTTCATGACGATGTCTCTTGAGTTTTACTATCGTGACCCTCAGAATCTAATGTAATTCGGTCTCGTACGTTTCTCGTTCCTTCTAGTATTAAGTTAAGACTATCCAGACATATAAAAAATCCCTGTCTCTGATCATATTATAGCATAGCCATAACATCGGACATGGGACTCTCGAACACTCGCGCCACTACAATGTATATTATATACTGCTGAATATATAGCATCCAATATTTTCTGCAGACTTCCAAAAAGGAGACGGTACTCAATTCGACTGTTTTTTTATGTGTGTTACCTCATAACTTTTTACTGGGTGAACCGATTTCGATGATTCTTTTTTTATTTGAAAGCTGGTACTTCTCGTGTGGTCCCATATGAATTATCAAGTCAGTAATCAAGGTCAGACTAATAGTTTTTGAGTTATTCTTAATAACTTATATTGAAGTCGGTTGTACAAAATTTTTAATTTTTAATTATTTTATAGAATTAACGACGACGAGCACACAGTCCAACTGATAGTATGTGAATCCTGCGGCTCATAGTCATCTATACCTATTTATAATACACGATTAAGAATTAAAATGTAGATGCGTTTTAAAGTTATACAAGTGAACTTATTATATAAAATTACTGCCCTTCTTGTGCTAAACATATTATATAAAAAATCAAGTAGGTTAACTGAGCTTAGTTTAGATATACAAATGTTAAGGGACAGTGAAACTCACCACTAGCGAAAGTCTGTGGTGCGACGGTGGCGGCGGCAGACGCGACGGTCGACGTGACACCGTGCATTGCTCTTTCTGCACAAATAAAAAAATTCTCTTGAATCCTGAGAAGTTGAACAGTTTTTGGCGGTAGCTTGTCGGCCGGCGGATCGCTGCTCCTGTTATAATTGTTTAAATAATTGTTTGAAGTAGATTTTCATACGTAAATTAAATCGATTTTGTGTATCAAAATTCTGCACATATGAACTATTAGTGGAAACGACGAAACAAGGGCTCCCATGTCGATATGAACCTAGAGATGCGTTGTCACCTCTTGAGGACTAACGGACTATGAAATGCCTCTCGTGTCTTCTTTTGTAACAGTCGTCCTTTTGTAACTTCTTTCTTCATCTCTCAAGGTTAGTCAAACGGAAAAGAAGTCCCTAGGTTTTTAGCATCAATTTGTAATAAAAACCATTGTTTCTGGTTAGAAATGTTTTATTCGTCATTATTAAATATAGGTATACAGGAAAACAGGGAATGAATATGGATTCAAAATAAATGTTACGTACCACGTGGGCGGAGAGTGTAGGCGCCGATTTACCAAGCGCTGACCTGCGCATGCGCACGAGGTTGCCTCGCAACCCCTTGCCCGCATCTGCCAACAAAGGAAACGCGAGTGAATATTTGTTTATAGTTAGGTACTAAGCCATCATCATCAATTTAATTCGGTTCAGCTGTTTAAAAGAAGTCGTTGAACATACACAAAAATATACGGGTCACATATAGAACCTTATCGTTTTTTTGAACTATATTAAAAACTAGCCAACACTAGACAATAAGATATTATAAATAAATGGGTCTACAATTTCATCACTTCATCAATCAACTTAATATGAATCGCGGCAGCCTTAAGGTCGTCGCATATGGGAACGACTGAACGCCAACTCGACTCAAAGATAGATTAGTGAGAAATATTACCCGTACCCGTAATTTTTCTAGAATGAAAGTATTGAATTTTACATGGATCCACTTTGCCCACTCGACGACCACGTGTTGACTGCGGTCTAACCGTTTATTGGTAAGCGTGCAGTCCGAGCACTGTTGTCGCTTACAACATAATATGAATATTGAATATGATTCGCAAACGCATTAAGATCGTCGCATATACTGGAACGACTGAACCATAACTCGATAGAGAGAAGAGAGATTATTGAAAAATTTAAGCTTTATGTCGTGACAAAAACCGGTAGTCTTTATAGAATGAATGAGTGGACAACATGGATCCATTTTGTCCACTCGACGACCACGTGTTGTTTGCACACTAACCGACTCGTAAGCGTGCAGCCCACGACAGCGTTTTAGCCACACAACTTCTCTCATTGTAGCTTAATCTAAGATATGGTGGTATTAAAGTAACTATAATAACGCCGCGCTATTATCTATCTACTCGGTGACGCGGGGTGGACTACTACTGGACCGTCTAGTGGATTCCAAACCGGTTGACGTTAGGCGATTTTCATCAGGTTGAGTCGCGATTTAATGTGCGGCGGACTTTACGCTTGTTTACCCCTTCAGTTAAACTTTTCAGTGCTGTCGAATAAAAATGTTTCATTCATTCTTCTTTCTTATAAGCCGCTTTTAGTAATTGACTGTTTCGTGACCCTGTATATAAATCATGTTTGTAACATGCCTGAGCATAAATTTGCTGTATTTTCTCTTTCACAGAAATATAAATAGGTCCTCCGTCGAAATAACCATAGTGGTACTGTACTGTCAACTACATAAAACAATGAACTAGGTAAAATTTCGTTATGCATTTCCTAAAACCAGAGATTTTTTTCTTACTTAAAAAAATAACATTAAGGTAATATTTTGTATACCATTACAGCCTATTAAAGTCCACTGCTGAACATAGGCCTCCCCCATAGATTGCGTCATAGAGGGAATATTTGCCATAGTTGTCTCGCTAGGCCAGCGGGTTGGGAACAGCAGTTTTTATTTTTAGTCGTTATTAGGAAGAGGCTGCTGTCCATCTCCTGATTTGTCTCCCCTGTCGCTTCTTACCGTGATGACATGGTTACACGTGATGATATGGGATAGTGAATATTCTTACACCGCCACTATACGGTATTATGTATAACATATTGGAAATTGGTGGAAATAGGTGAACGGCATAGTCGGGAAGGGTCGCCATAGGCGAAAGTTTATCGACCAAATTGGCGATATATGAAATATGGGCCAAATCAAGAGTACCTTTAACCGACGAGCGTGTATGCGTAGGTATATGGATGTGAAGGAAGCGAGAGGTGTGTCAGGATCGCGCCAAATGGAAGTCCATAATCTCTGCCTACCCCTCTGGGTGACAGGCGTGAGTGTTTATGTATGTATATGTATGTTATGTATATTGGAAATTCTCCTCTGTTCCGATGGAATTAGAGAGTAGCTGTGGCGTTAGTGTTTGACCATTGCTAATGTTTGCGTCATTCGTACGGACACACCTACACCGCGCCTAAAATAAATGTTTATAAATAATACTACGTAACACTGTAATCTCATGAGTCGGAAGCCGCTTAAAAATAGAAATTTAGTGTATATTTTAGTACACAAAACACAACTTCTAATTTATAGATTGGTAAAGATTTACTTCATAAACATATTTTTTAAATCTATACAAATAAATAAAATTGAAGTGTCTGTTTGTAATGTCGAAATAACAGCTTTTTACTATATCAATATGGAAGTATATACGGTACTTATAACAAAAACACGATTTTTTAAATTTTTGTCAGTCTGACTTTCTGTCTGTTTGTTCCAGCTAATCTCCGATTTTGACCGGACTTACACTAGCAGATAGCTGATGTTATAAGAACTAACTTAGGCTACTTTTATTTTAGAAAATGAAATAGGGTTCCGCGCTAAAAATTAAAACCCATGAAATCCAATCGTAATAAATTACGCGCGGGCGAAGTCGCGGGGAACAGCTAGTACATACATATGATTTAAACATAATATAAAAGTAGGGTTGGCTCTCTCTAATATGGTATCCGACTATTTTACGGGCCAGATTAACAATATCCCTCTCCGCGAAAAAGATTTCAACAATCGAAATGTTCATCATATAAGTGGCAGCGCACGAAGTAGCAATGTACTGTTAATCTACTGTATATGACTCGATGATCTAGTATATGACTGATTTCCACTTAAATTTATGATAATTTCAACTTCCATAACGCGGTGACAAACACAAAACTTACAAAAAACCAGAGTTCGAGCTTAGTAATTATCGGTTCCTTCTAAAGTATCGGTGGTTTTAACTTCGGTAAAACATAAAACTGATAGACCGCATAAAATTAGATTGTCTTCTTGAAAGCTTTTAAATAGGGTTATGTATATTATTTATAAAATTTAACCTCAGTAAGATTAAATTATAGGTTCTTTCGGGTTTCTACATGAAATTATCCTTTACTTTAACCCGCGTATTTTCTACTGACATTGAATTAATCAGGATCAAGACATTACCCCTCCGAATGGATTTCCTGTCGTGCACTTCTAGACCAGTTTTCTGCCTAATCGTGACGGCAGGACTATTAGTCATGGTTTGTTCAGTCACAATGGAATAAAGGAGTACACTCAAAATGTAAGTGAGCATGACGCAGAGCCTACTCTAATGAATGTGAAATCTCAACAAATGTGAGTTGGGATCACGGGGTCTGGGTTTCCCCCCCCCCCCCACTCTTTACAGTCCAGAGAACCCAGTTTGTTATAATAGTTCACTTAGTTTCACTATACGTCGTTTTTTATACTCTAGTCATGGATATTAGAAGAATTTAATGTTGCTAAACCTAAATATATTCCAAGATAAATCCTAGTTTAACAGTACAGACTGTCTCACTGTGATATTTTATTGAATTTGCAAAATTCTTAACCATTTTAGTTCCCGAATAACAGAAATTCCAAAACGTAGCGACATTTCTATTAAAGTACATCGCTGAAATTGGCCACACGCCAGTTTCGCGGTGGGAATTCTATTGAACTAACTCTGACAATACTAACTTGTTAGTTCAATTCATCTAGATATCAGAAATATATACTTTTTTTTATTAAATATTAGATTATATTGACAAATGAGCAAACGATCTACCTAATGATAATAAGTTTACTAACTGAACGTTGCCCCTGAAAACCAGGGCTAGGATGACACATCTTCGCATTAACTGGGTGGCAGTCGTATTTGAACCATTTCTTAGTTAGATATTCGCTTTTTTTATTTATTTTGTACCTATTTGCAATTTATTTTAAAAACGATTTATTTTTCATTGTAGGCTCACAATAAGTGGATGCTGTGGTCCATAGACATCTACATTTTTACTTCGATTAAGGGTCAAAATGCAGATGCGTTGTCTTTAAATTAAATTAAAAATAATAATTAAAAAGGGTCTCCAGTTCTCTACATTCACCATACAGCAGCATAAAGCTGTTATTTTACGGTGACATTCTGTGAGAGCTTGATCCTCCTGATGGCTATATAGCTGCAGCGTGGCTCTAAACGTTCACCTATATAATGATATTTTGAGTTTCCAGTGCCTCTTTGATAAGAAATGGCCAAAGAAATATCTCTTTCTTTCTTTTTTTCTAATGGTATTTTCTTTGGCTAATGTATCTCATGTATTTTTAATAGGTGACAGGACTCCTTTTCCGCCTAGGAGTCCGTCTGGGTAGGAACCACCCTCTTACTCTAAGACCCGTATTAATAAACGTTACTCAGCTCAAGTACACGCACTTGAGTACAATCTTGAGGTTTTGATTTTATTAATAAACATAATATCTCAAGATGCGGTTTATGTTTACGATATCAGCTGAGTGCCACACTGATTAATAAACGAAACTCGACTCTCAAGTGTGTGTGCGCAAGTCACAGAATAGTATTCCTAATTACAGCGTTTTGAGATACTGTTTTTATGTGTTTATTAATAATTAGCAACGATCATGAGATGCTGATATCGTAATGATATCAATAATGGTATCAAATAATTACGCACTTGAGTTCGTCGTTGAGTAACGTTTATTAATACGGGCCTAAGTATTCTGCCGCCAAACAGCAGTGAGTGCATTGCTGTGTTCCGGTATTTCCGATTTCGGTACAGAGAGCCGGTAATACATTATGTCATCATGGGCTACAGTAGCAACTTACCATCAGGTGAACTGTTAGCTTCTTTGTTATCTTGCGGTTCCAGGGTTCGAATCCCCGGTCGGGTCTAAAATATAAATATTGGGTTTTGGTATCAACACATTCTTAGTAACAGCCCGCCGCGCAGTTTTGGTACTGCGCGTGTTATCTCTCCGTTCGTGTCGGTTTGAAATCCCATCGGAACTATGAGAGTAGCGGAATAGAGAGTGCACCTGTGCTTGCGCATACACGGGTGCGCTGATATTTCATTAACCGCCTTGATCGAAATTCTGATCTGGAGACCATAATTACTCTTACCAATAGAGAGAGGGATCTCTAACACTTAATAAAAGTTTTGCATCCTTATCCGCTATCTAAGTTATTTTCTATACGTGAAGAAACTGGTTCCGCTTTCTCTTTACTAATGTTGGGTATTTAATATCCTTAGCCAGTTAAAAGGTTGCGCAAATTTGCCTTTTTTATCTAAT